CAGATCTGAGGATTACAGTGGGAGAAAATCCGCCGCCTTCGGGCTGCAGACCTCTCGCTCCTCCACGCGCTCCATCCAATCTTCAGGTGAGAGTAGCGCTCCCTCTTCGGATGATCACTCTCTCACTTGATGACACCGAGGATCAGATGTCCATCGCTGCATCGGAGTATGGGCTGTCCCGAACCCGCGGGCTGCGAACCCGCTTGCTCCCTCCCTCCGTGGTGGAGAGCATGGCGTTGGCATCTAAAAAGCAGGCATGATGGCCGTGCTTTACTGGGCTGCTTCGGCCATGGGCCTGGTGATGATTTATCCCCCAGCCCACGACCGGACTGACTAGATGGGTGTTATGTGGAGGATTCAAAGCCTTCCGTCCCTTTCTTCCCGGAAGTGCACAGTAAGCTTTTGAGGGCACTTTTTTCTTTTTTCTGCCCGATCTGCATGTGCTTCCATCCTCACCATCCTTGGAGGGTGGGCTGTCAATGTCTGATGAGGATTCAAACCCGCTCCTCCCTCCGGGTTGATGAGCGCGGTGTCGAATCTAGAAGCAGAATTTGTGGCCGTGCTTCCTCAGGCTGCTTCGGCCATGGCTCTGGAGATGGTTTATCCCCCAACCCCACGGCCAGACCAGACTTCCTGGATGCGCACAGTGGGCTTACGCAGTCTGCTGCATGCGCCTCCACCCTCACCTTGCATGCTATGGCCACCTACCAGCGCTATCAAGTGCAAGCGCTGACCCAGCTGCGTGAGGATGGTTCCGACCCAGGAATGAGCATGAGCCCCGCACCCTGGGAAGGATGATGAGCACTTTTGTGGCCAGCAACGCCCCCTCAGGCTAAATCTGGTGATGTGTGTGATGTTGACAAAGTTCGCTTTCTTAACCCACCCTGAGTTAAGGCTGGCCTGTTCGGTGACAACGTCAGTGAACTCGCCTAGGAGTTCATGCCAGTGATGGAGCAGTCGGAGGCGATGGGTTATAATCTATCGGCAGGATCGTAAGACCGCTCTGTCCCACCGAGCCATCCACATCCACTGTTTTTCGCAGAGAGCGCTCGCCTGTAGCTTTTTGCTCCGCCGCCCCGCCTGTGCCTCCGGCCAAGCGGCTGCGCTGAGCATCTCGCAAGCAGCCAGCGCCCCCCGCCCCAGGGTGCCGATAAGTTCAGTAAATGGACCACGAAGCATCCCTGAGACGGGCCATCCGGAGAGGAGGGAATTTGCTCTTTCCCCACTGGAGGGTGGGGCTCTTCATTTAACTGTGTAAAAAAAATAAATAAATAAAAACGGCATCTAATCTTCAAAGAGCTTTTTCCTCTTCTTCGGATGTGTCAGCCTGAACATTGCCAGTTTGGGACGCTATGCTTTCCAGCTTGCAGGATTGGTGCATTTCACCAATGGCTCACAGAGCGTGACAAAACGGTCTCCTTTCTCTCCCTCTCGCAGCCCCTCCTCCAGAGTTTGGGTGCGAGACTAGAGCGAGTCTCTCGCTCTCCCGCGGGACCCCAGCACTCCCAGGGCGAGCCCACCCACTTCACACTGCCTCACCGCTGGCATGTCAGCGTGCAATGCGATACAGCTTGCGAAACGGCTTCCCAAGTTCACGGGCGTGTATTTCACCAGGCTCCGTCCTGCGTCTGCCCCTGTCTTGCAAGTGGAGTGCCGGCCCCTCCAGCTGAGATGGAGAACAGGTTTTACAGCCCGTACTTCATTATGCCCAAAAAAGAGTGATGAGTTATGGCCAGTCCTAGGTCTGCGTGTTTTGAACCGCTGCCGTCACAGGCTGCGCTTCGAAATGCTTACATAGAAGCGCATCAACCGATGCGTTCGTCCTCGGGATTGGTTTACAGCAATAGATCTAACGAACGGATGCGTATCTGCATGTCTCCATACTTCCACGCCACCGGCAGTTTCTGCGATATGTGTTTGAAGATCGAGCATGACAGTACAAGGTCCTCCCCTTTAGGCTCTCTGTCTCTGCGGGGTTTTCACACGCTTGCTCAATTCTCTCGACATTTGGCTAAATTTAGCCCTCTCTCGGGGACAATTGACTATGCACAGAGACAAGGTGCTCAGGCACCTCCACCTGTTGGGGTTTCAGATCAACCGAGAAAAGAGCTGGCTCGCCCCTGTGCAGAGCCCCTCTTTTCTCGTGTTGGAGCTGGACTCGATCACCATAAAGGCATGCCTCTCACAAGAGCGAGCCGAGCCAGTGCTGGACTGTCCGAGAGAGTTCGACAGAGAAATGTGGTCCCCCTGAAATCTTTTCAGAGGCTCCTGGGGCAATGCCATCCGTGGCCGCGACCTCGCCGCTCGGATTGCTCCATATGAGACCACCACGGCATTGGCTTCACGACCGGGTCCCCAGACGCTCATAGCACGCGGGCATATACCGAGTGACTCCACTCCGCTGTGTCGCCGCGCCCCCACCCCCTGGAGGGACCCCTCTTTCCGACGGGCCAGAGTGCCCCTGGGCTAGGCATCCAGGCATGTTGTCACTTTGACAGATGCTTCTAGTACGGGTTGGGGGGCCAAGTGTTGCAGGCATGCTGCTTCGGACCTGCGGAAGGGAAACCAGCTGCATTGGCATATCAACTGCCTAGAGCTGTTGACAGTGTTTTTCACTCTGCGGCGCTTTTTACTGGCGCTGAGGGGGCAACACACGCTGGTCAGTACAGACAGCACGGCGACGGGAGCGTATATCAACCGTATGGGGGATATGAGCTCCCGCCGCATGTCTCAGCTCGCTCGCCGTCTGCTCCTCCTGAATCACACTTTGCCGAAGTCGCTTGGTGCTGTTTACATGCCGGGTTGTTAATACCGTCACTCAGGCTAGAGCACCCTCTACGAGGCATACCTACTCCCTGAAGTAGAGTCTATTCTCAATTCTCGCTGAGAAGACCCCCGTTCTTGCCAGATCAGTGTTGTGCTTTCTTTCCTTCAGGACAGGCTGGAGCGAAGGCTGTCGCCCTCCACACTGAAGGTCTACGTGGCCGCTATTTCCGCCCATCATGATGCGTAGATGGCGGCACCGTGGGGAGACATAACCTCATCATCCGGTTCCTCAGAGTGAGGCGTATGGTTTCACCCCGCCCCCCTCTCATGCCCTCTTGGGACCTCGCGGTAGTGCTATGAGCCTACATGAGGAGCCCTTCGAGCCACTCGATTACTGGTCGTGTTGGCATCGGTTAAGAGGGTCGAGGCATTTTCGGTCAGTGATACGTGCCTAGAATTCGGGCCGCTCTACTCTTACGTTGCCCTGACGTTACGTTACGTTGCCCATAGCCGGACCCCGGTCCGGCTATGTGCCCAAGGTTCCTACCACGCTGTTTTAGGATCAGGTAGTGAGCCTGCAAGCGCTGCCCGCGGAGGAGGCAGACCCAGCCCTTTCATTATTGTGTCCTGTTCGCGCTTTGTGAACCTATGTGGACCGCACTCAGAGCTTTAGATCCTGCGGCGATCCCATATGCTCACTCAACCACGGTTTAGTCCCCCCTGTGTTAAGGTGGGCTCGTGTCTTTTAACCATCCTCTTATGTACCCCTCCCCCGTTACGGGGCTGGGCCACAGGCTGTCACCAGGTCTCCCCTCCTTGGGTAGCAGGTGAACTCCGCAGCGTCCTCCCTATCGGGACTGAACGCTTTCCTAACGTACTGTCGTATTAAACCCTTACTGGGTTATTCTCGACTCCCCGAAAAATATAGCTAAACCTGAACAGGTAAGTAAGGTAAGTAAGGGCCAGGGGACATGTTGGAAGACTGCATCTCGCGGCGTTGTAGGTGCACTTGCTCTACTGCGTGGCGCTCCCTTCGCCAGGGACGCGGTAAGGTGCTTTCATTGTGGCGTTTTCCATAGATTTCTCCATAGTGGAAGGTTTTTCCACATAGCATTGGAGTTCCCCATCCGAAGGGGAACGCTACGGTTACTGAAGTAACCCTTGTTCCCCGAGGGGGGGAACGGAAATGCTATGTACCTTCGCCACAACGATCGTCCCTTAGCTGTTGAGCATGAAAGTCTCCTCAGCTCAAAAGGATGTCGAGCATTGCACTAGCCGCGTCTTATATACTTGACTGATTGTCATTGACGCCAGCTGTGCATGCTGATGCTGCCAATTCATTTGGCATTTCATTGGCCCGATTTTATACTCTTTCAGATGATTGGTTTCTGACGAAAACCCCATAGTGGAAGGTTTTTCCACATAGCATTTCCATTCCCCCCTCGGGGAACGAGGGTTACTTTAGTAACCGTAGCGTTTGTTTAACTTCACGCTCTGTTTCAGTTGCTTGACGCATGTGCACATGAAGCAGCCGGTGAGCACCAGCACACACACACACATATTATGACACATCTTTACATGTAAAAGTGTTTCTCCATATGTTTTCATCGAAGTTGTTCACAAGCCACAGAATTTGTAATGCAGTCAAGTGTGTAAACATTTAGCTGTGGTTCGCGTTTCTGTCTTTGGATGTCTCACAAAGCAGCTGCATGAATGCTAAAGCTTTAAATAAAAGTGAAACCATCAAGAAAAGCTCGACCACTTCCAGGTTTAAAAATACAAGCGCTTCTGTTTATAGGTCGTTTTTGATTAATGATGTCAGAATTTACTGGTATTTTGGAAGTCTTTTCTGGAAAGATTCCATAATGTCCATGCCTGTGTGAACACCTTTTTTATGAATGTACCGGTAAAGTCATGGAAATTTTCTGGACATTTATCGATATCAATGTGTGAAAGAGGCTTAAGCTCTATAAGCCTAATTTTAGTTCATTAGGCCTTTAGTGCTAAATGATGCAATTTTTTTTGCCTATAAAATGATGAAATTCGTCTCATATGATGAAATCAGTGCTGTGGTCATAGAAACATCTGCAATGCTGATAGACAAGCATTTGTAAACGAAAAGAGGTCCAGCCCATCTAAAGCTCTATAAAAAAGTAGAGGGAGGACAGCTCAGGTGTTATTCCACCTTCAGACTTTACAAGGGGTTTTATGTCAAGTTTATTTTTGCTGTCATTATGAACTCCACATCAAACAGCAGTCTGGGCAACACTTTTATTTCGAAAACACTAAAAGAGAAGTCTTTGACGGTGCAGGTGCTGGTTGGGATTCTTCTGTATGTGAACGGACTGATGATTTTCACCTTTCTGAAGAAGGAGACTTTCAGGGACACACGCTACATTCTGTTTGCTCAGACTCTTTTTGTTGACTCAGCTCTTATGCTGTTTGCTGATTTAACCCTTGTAGGCTCTGCTTATGAATTGTTCATTCACATCATTTCTTGTTATATCTTTTGTACAGTCATGGCTCTGCTCAGTATTTGTTCTCCGGTGACTCTTGTAGCCATGTGTTTGGAGCGATATGTGGCCATATGTTTGCCTTTAAGACATGCCAGCATCTCCAGTCCCAAAAACACCATCAATGGGCTTCTCATTATATGGGGTGTCAGTAGTGTCATCCCACTGTTTATTTTCATTGTCTCTTTTACTTACACTCCTCCTAATGCCATGAACTCATATGTTGTGTGTAGTAATGATGTCATGTTTCAAGTGAAATGGTTGGCAGAAATGAGAGCATTAAGTCAACAGCTGTTGTTCGTCATAATGTTGTGTATTGTTGGCTCCACCTACATCAAGATTATGGTTGCAGCCAAATCAGCCTCCGCCGAGAACAAGAAGTCAACATATAAGGGTCTCAGAACTGTTATTCTCCATGGCCTTCAGCTGATTCTGGGTATGATGCAGCTTATAACACCGTATATTGATATTCTAACATTGAAAGTAGATATTATGCTGTTTATTAATGTAAAATTCTCAAATTTCATGTTGTTTTGGATCTTTCCCCGTTGCTTAAGTCCCTTAGTTTATGGATTACGAGACAAAAAGTTTTATAATGCTCTCAAATATTATGCCTTTTGTGGCATTTATGTTTGTAAAAAGCACAAAATAAAAGATAGTAAAACCATTAGAGGTGCTGTGAGCATTGCTATATACTAAACCTCACAATGTATGGTGAATTGTTTCATTATAAACAGCACAAAATACATATATCTTGACTTGCAGGGATTATGCTATGTATTGCTAGATGTAATTTGTTTGTTAATTATGTGTATTCCCATTTAATACCTATCTATCTATATTTCTGTCTGTCTATTTGTACGGGACCAAAATTATCTCATTTTGATGTCCACATCAAATGAAATTTACCTAAGTGTTTTAATAAACATAAAAAGTATGTTCTCTGTAAATAAAGTGTGCAATGTTTTAAATAACTTTAGTGAAAATAAAATGATAAAATGATGGAATATGAGTGAAATCATGTTCATGGTCATTTAGCACATAACATATTTATGCAAAAAGTAACCAACATACATATTCTGACCTGGTATTCAAAATAATAGCTGATCAAAGTTTTATTATATTTTAACTGAGTGGTTAAAAAGACAACGACAAACCATAAAGATTTAAAGGGCTCCAATTTTGGCTTTTTTACAAGATGAAAAATTATTTTTGTTTCCAGAATCTGAAGGTCAAAATATCCATCAGAGAATTTATTATACCCTGGTCAGAGGGAATTATTGCTGTTTTGCCACCTGTGCCTTTAACTCTTTCCCTGTCAGCGTTTTTTTTTTTTTTTTTTTTTTTAAGTTGCCAACCACTGTGTGTATATTATAGTATATTATGTTCTGTGTATATGTACATGTGAATGACAATAAAGTACTGTGTGATTTGACATTTACACATATGAGTGCACACTCACATGCACATGTACACGCTCATAAACATATGCATGTTAGTGTGACTGTGCGTCAATCACCAATCAATTCAATTCAAGTTTATTTGTATAGCACTTTTCACATTAATAATTGTTTCAAAGCAGCTTTACAAAAGGTGCACATTATTGCATTACAATCTAATTTGGAAAAGTTAAGGTTATTAGTTACCATAACTTTTTTTTTTACTAATAACTTTGACTAAAAACTTAATCTATCTACTTTAACTACTAAGCATAGTTAACCTGCAGTTATACAGTATATTATCCTTGAAGAATTTGATGCTTTGCATCATCTCTTAACAGGTCTTGAATCTCATCAAGTGGTGCTGCATAATCTCTAGAGGCCTCAAGATGGGCATTACCAGGTGGAAATTGAGAACAAACAAAATATTTAACTTATTTGCTGTTCATAATGTATTTGAGCACGAGATATTACAGTTTTTCTCAGTAGCTTTGGTGCATTTCTCACTACACTATTTACATTTGCACAATAGTTTATGCATTTCTCAAAACAATTAGTCATTTGTGCACATCCTAGTAGCAGTTTCTCATTCTTTTCAACACATTGCAAATGCTTTTGGACATGCATCAATTGCTTTCATACAACTCTCTGCTAATTATAACATTATCATTGGCTTATGTCATGCCAGACAAAATTAACTAAACTTGTAAATGCTGAATAGTCATTCCATATAAAACTAATAGTCCTTGTTTTATTACTTGTGTCATTACATACAAAAATGTTGAACTAGTTGTCAAAATCTGTCTGGCAAATTTTATAAAAAAAAATTGTAAATCTTCATTTTCCTGAAAATGTCTTAAAAATTTAACAATTTGATGAATAATTTACATACCTGTGTATGTTGTAGTTTAGTTCCAATATGTACTGCAATATTGTTTACAGTTGTGCACAGCTCTACCCAAAGGAAATTTATGTTTGTTGTAAATAAGGGTGTATTTATTCTTTTGCACAATGCTGTGAATAAATTAGAATTGTAAAGAGCATATGCAGTAAAAATGTGAAACATACATATTCAGGGTCTTGTACTCAGATACCTTACTAAATGCACTGATGTCTAACTTTACTGCAGTTTTCAAATGGCTGTGCAAATAGTCTATAGTGCTGTCTTGAGCATTTCAGCAAGTGTCACCAAAATCAGACTTTTTTTGCATTGAAAAAATGTACAGAGTAAAGTGTCATAATGAAAACATGACTAAGCCATTTGACTATCTTGTTCATAAACAATGGTGACAGGACTTTTCATTTTGATGACACTGACACTTTGATTGACATCAATACTTGCTTTTGAGGAATGAACTATCTATTTTGAGCAAGTGACGCGCTTTTGCAGGTTATCAGCTAGGTTTTGCAGTTTGCACTAATTGTTTTGCAGTTTGCATTAACTGTTGTGCAAATGTAAATAGTGTAGTGAGAAATGCACCAAAGCGTCTGAGAAAAACTGTAAATGAAAATGAAATGCTATAAATTAAACTATTATATAAACACACTTATTTTACTTAGGACTGCGATCTTGAGGGCTGTTCTATTTGAATTTGAGGATTGGTAGATGATAGTGGTCATGTGTCCTCTGAGTACATGTATCTTTGGTTGAGATTTTATTATGCAATATTTATTCTGATGATTTTGAATCTTGCATCTAACAAATATCCTTATTTAGAAAAACAAAATAATAAAAAAATTAAACTAATAAAAACTAAAGTAAAACTAAACCATTTTATAAGATAAAAGCTAATAAAAACTAGTAAATTTACATCTATATTATTTTTTGTCAGGTCTGGCTGTGGACGATAATTTGAGGTTAAAGCAACAAAAGTAGCCCCACAACCGCAAAAAGCATGTACCTGGCATTTGGTTGGTGGGTCGGGGGGTCTTCTTAAGTGCTTCCACTTTGGACTGTTGGGGTTGGATTAGCCCCAATGTCATATCCCAAATACCAAGATGACACTTCTGGGGGTCAGCTGAAAGTCCAGTCAGAGTTCCAGCAGCACCCTCCACAGACGGGTAAGATGTTCCTCTCAATGCCTCAAATGTACCACCACATCATCCAGTTATGCTGCTGCATATTCTTGGTGTGGCCCGAGGAATTTGTCCATCATCCTCTGGAGCATGGCTGGAGCCCCATGCAAGCCAAAGAGAAGTTCCAGTGACCCCCTGGGTCGTGTTTTTTTCTCTTGGACTTGCAAGTTCGACTTCCTTTGGTGGTGCGTCTTCATCCCAGCTGGGCACTCAATAGTTGACCAGTCCAACCCACTCAATGATCAGGTAGGGTGGTTTCCAGGTGGCCAGGAACTTGGATGATGTCAATGGGACCAAGACTAGCACCTTATTGCCAGGATAAAATTCACAGGGCTGGGCAGACCAATCATAGAATCTCTTCGGGTGTGCTGGGCTTCAGAGAGGTTTTGTTCACCAGTGGTATTACTGATTCAGTCTGCTGTCTCATGTCCCATATGTGCTCTATCACCATCAGGTATGGGGCTGAGGCCTGTTACGATGCCTGTCAAGCCACATCAAGGAGAACGCAGGGCTGGCAGCTGAACAGGAGCTTGAATGGAGTGAAGCCGGTAGAAGCTTGGGGCAATTTATGGATGCCAAAGAGCACGAATGAGATCATAAGGTCCCAGTTGCACCCATGTTCTGCCACCACTCAATGGAGCATCCTCTTCAGTGATTTAATTGCTCCACCAAACCGTCTGTCTGTGGGTGGTAAACCGATGTCCGTAGTTGTTTTACCATAAGTATGTGGCGAATGTCTGATATCAGCCAGGACATGAACAGGGAACCCTGGTCAGTCAGGATCTCTGAGAGGATGCCCATCTGGCTGCATAGAATGAAGAGTTCCTTGGCTATTGCTTTTGATGCCACTTTTCTCAAGGGCACCGTCTCTGGGTAGTATAATGCAAAATCACTAGGATGTGCTCGTGTTCTCGAGCAGACATTGGCAGAGGCCCCACCAGGTTCATTCCAATCCGGTCAAAGGGTACATCGATGATTGGTAGAGGTATTAGATGGGTGGCTTTGGAGATTTTTTTGACAGACCGGGCATGCCTGGCAGTACCATTTTACATCTGCCTCCAATCCAGGCCAGTGAAATCAATCTCAGATCCTCTAGGTGGTGTTGGCGGTTCCCAGATGGCCCACCATTGGGTGGAACTGTGCTAGATCCAACATGACTAGTATCTTGGATTTTGGTACTACCAGAAGTGTCTTCTTCTCTACCCTCTTTCCAACACAGTGCAGCACACTGTTTTTAATGGCGAAATATGAGAGGGGTGAGGTGCTGGTAATCTATGTTTTTTCTACCACTCTTGTGACCAGCAATTTCGACCAGCAATTTCTCTACTGCTTTTTGAAAATTTTCTTCTCGTTGTGCTTTCCTAAACGTGCCACCTGTTGTCACTTGTTGAAACAGATCATAATATGAGTTAGCAGGTGAGTGTTTGGACTCACCCCCTCTATCGCTCTCGGTGGCCATGAGTGCAGATTGGTGGTCCCATGATGTTGATGACGTAGTGCTTTTCCATTTTTAGGAGCTGAAAGGGTGAGTAAGACCAGTCTTGACCCAGGAAGAGAGGGAAGGGAAGGTCAGGCATCACCCATACTTCGTAGGACCATGCACCTGCGCTGGCTGAGATCATCACCTGCTGTGGGGGAACATATCTGGTATCACCAGAGACACATAAAAAAGGCATTTTCACTTTACCTCTTGGGTTAGTTGGTCTCAAGCCAGGTTTGATTAAAGTTATTGCACTCCCAGTGTCAAGTGTGGCCAGCAGGGTTTTTTCCATTTAGCAGTACTTTTCTTGCTGGAGTGCCGGGGGAACTGTTATATGCACAATGCGGCCAGCCAGCCAGGCAGGTGCCACTGAGGTCGCTGGATTGATGGGCAGAGGCATGAGCCTGTCTGCAAGGCTCGGGACCCCAGGTCTGCTGTCTGGTCTCGCCATACCCTCTGCTATTTGCCAGGAGTGGTTCACCCTCCAGCGCTGTGCAGCCGATCTCTCTCCTCTATCTCGGGTGTGGGTTGTTTCTGCTAGCTCTACTAAAATTTGCCAAATTTTCTTCTGGGAAGCCCCTGCAGCAATTTTTCAATGACCTCTTTTTCAGGGCTAGCCCTGGGTTGCGCTTAGGTTGTCAATGAGGAGCCACAAACAGGCTGAGCAGGTGAGGTAGGCTGCTTTTAACTGCACGGGCCCTGCTTTCAAAGGACCAGGAATTGAACAGCTAAGCAGTGCTTATGGGTGACAGTCGCACTTGGGCTAAAGTTTTCCTCTTTAATGCCTTATAGTCATCATTCCTGGGAGCCTCCAGAGCGTAATAAGCCCACAGTGGCTCCTTGGGTAAAAATGGAGCTAGAATTTTCACTCATTTCTCTTTAGGCTAGACTCTTCTCTTACAATCACTCCAAACGTGTGTAAATATGAGTCTATTTCATCCAGGGTGCTAAGTTTGGTAGAATGATGGTAGGCTGCAATGCTGGGGTCCGGGAGCGAAACTCACTTGGCCAGCTGTAGCAGCTCTTGTTCCAACCATTCCTGTTTAGTGTCCAGCGAGTCTGTGAACACTTGCTGTCTTGTGGAAATCTTCACAAGGTGGTGTATAATTTCTTCCATGGCCGTTGACGTCACTGCTCTGGGGTACCTGGATGGCAGAAGGCGTAGAGATTGGTGTGGAGAGCGGCTGGGTTGCTGGAACAGACCAAGGACAGAATTTAAATATTCCCATTTCACAGTTTGGATGTGTTTTCTGCCCGCATTCTCCACCAGTTGTGGCGAGAAGAGGAACAAATGCAACGCAACACTGGACTGGATGTACACCCGGAGCGTGATTTATTTACAAGTATTTTCCAGAAGCAATGCAAGAAGATAAGTGGTGTAGACAGGGATGCTTCTGAAGGGTGAGTGAAGGGAACCTGGGAATCTGCAGAGGTGCAGTCGTGCAGGCTCGGAAGTTAAGTGACGCTGATCTATCGGCTGGAGTCTGTGTGAAACAGAGAGGTATAATTGTCTGGGTAAGAGTGGAGATCATAGCTCACTGAAGCACTCATGTCTTGTCCTTAAATCCTCTCCCTCTGATGTAATCGCGGTGGCGATGATCAGCGTTGATGAGGTGTGACCAGGTGACGGCAATTTGTCTCTCGCCACACTATCCAGTAAGTAACGTCTTGTTTTGTTCAGATCTGTCTGTTTTTCACTTGGATTTGTACAGGTACAATGTACAGGTGCAATGTACAGGTCTATCTATGTCTTTTGATTTAAAGTGTGTTATGTACAGTAACTCTATTGCTCAATAAGTTTCACTGGCACCAGTAATTTCATATTTGCTCCTGGCTTTCCCTGCCTTCCAGTATGGTGGTGTAAACAAAATGACTATCATGTTGTCTGGAACTCTAGAAGCATAATATTAGTTCATTAGGCCTTAAGTGCTGAATGATGCAATTTTTGTCCAACTTTACTTCATCATATTCATCTTAAATGATGAAATCAGTGCTGTGGTCATAGAAACATCTGCAATGCTGAAAGACAAGCATTTGTAAACAAAAAGAGGTCCAGCCCATCTAAAGCTATATAAAAACAGCACAGAGGAAGGAAAGCTCAGATGTTTTTCCATCTTTTTTATGGCAAGTTTATTTTGCTGTCATTATGAACTCCACAGCAAACAGCAGTCTAGGCAACACATTTATTTCAAAAGCAATAAAAGAGAAGTCTTTGACGGTGCAGGTGCTGGTCGGTATTCTTCTGTATGTAAACGGACTGATGATTTTCACCTTTCTGAAGAAGGAGACCTTCAGGGACACACGCTACATTCTGTTTGCTCAGACTCTTTTTGTTGACTCTGCTATTATGCTATTTGCTGATTTAACCCTTGTAGGTTCGGCTTACCAATTGTTCATTCACATTATTTTTTGCTACATCTTCTGTACAGTCATGGGTTGGCTCAGTATTTGTTCACCTGTGACTCTTGTAGCCATGTGTTTGGAGCGCTATGTGGCCATATGTTTGCCTTTAAGACATGCCAGTATCTCCACTCCCAAAAACACCATCAATGGGCTTCTCATCGTATGGGGTGTCAGTGGTGTCGTCCCAGTGATTATTTTTATTATCGCATTCGCTTATACTCCTACTAACGCCATGAACTCTTATGTTGTGTGTAGCATTGAGGTCATGTTTCAAGTGAAATGGTTGGCAGACATGAGAGCAGCAAGTCATCAGTTGTTGTGTGTCATAACATTGTTTATCGTTGCCTCCACCTACATCAAGATTATGGTTGCGGCCAAATCAGCCTCAGCCGAGAACAAGAAGTCAACATATAAGGGTCTCAGAACTGTTATTCTCCATGGCCTTCAGCTGATTCTGGGTATGATGCAGCTTATAACACCGTATATTGATATTCTAACATTGAAAGTAGATATTATGCTGTTTATTAATGTAAAATTCTCAAATTTCATGTTGTTTTGGATCTTGCCCCGTTGTTTGAGTCCCTTAGTTTATGGATTACGAGACAAAAAGTTTTATAATGCTCTTAAATATTATGCCTTTTGTGGCATTTATGTTTATAAAAAGCACAAAATAAAAGATAGTAAAACTATTGGAGGTGCTTTGAGCATTTCCATACACAATTAAACCTTACACAACGTATAGTTTGTTACTTCATTAGAATAAACAGCACAAATGTTTAGCATTGATTTTACATTCATATGCATGGCTAGATGTAATTTATTTTATTAATTATGTGTTTATTAATCTATCTGTCTATAACTGTTCACATCAAATTAAATTTACAGAAGTGATTAAATAAATATAAAAAGCATGTTATCTGAAAATAAAGTATGAAAATAATGTTTCAAATAACTTTTGTGAAAGTAACATGTCAAATATATGGGTAAAGTCATGTTCATGGTCATTTACTATTTAACATACATATTTATATAAAATGTAAGCAACATACATATTCTGACATGGACAATAAAGTATTCAAAGAATAAATAATCATACTATATTAATTACATGACATTTAAATGAGTAATAACTGAGTGGTTTGAAGGGCAGTGAAAAACTATAAAGATTTAAAATAAAATAACATCGTGACCTGCAATTGCATATATATACAGTGTGCGCATGTATTTATATACAGCGGTTGGACAAAGAAACTAAAATGCTATCTAATTTAGTGTTGGAGCTTTCGTGGCTAAATTTGACAATCCTGGTGTCCAATCTTCATTGGTTGCACATTCCACCAGTAAGAGCAGAGTATGAATGTTTAATTAGCAAAGGAATTACATAGTTTTCCTTAAAATATTGAATGCACAAATCATTATCGGTGACATATATGCGTCTCATTGGCACATCTGTGATCAAGACGACAAGTCTTTGTAACATATCCAGATTAATGTGAGCATACCACCATTGATGGTAAGAGTACAAAAAATTGTACTTAAATACAAGTACTGTTACATTGCTGAAATTTTACTCAATTACAAGTAAAAGTACTGGTGTTAAAAAGTACTCAAGTAAAAGTACAAATTACTCTTCGTAAAAACTACTCAAATTACAAATTACTTTTTTAGCTGGCGGTATTGGTGGAATTATCCATAAATGCAGAGTCAGACAAGAGCCAGGCAGTAAAACACATTTTACATAACACATTTAAAGATATTTTAAACACTAGATACTGTAAACAGCATTAATTATAGATTATAATTGTAGAGCACCTATAGAGGAAACCTACAAACATGGAGAGAACATGCAAACTCCACACAGAAACACCAACTGACTCAGCCAGGGCTTGAACCAACAAACTTCTTGCTTTGAGGCGATAGTGATACCCACTGCACACCATGATTATTTTACAAAAACAATGTTTTGCTATTTTGAGTATAAAGAACCGAAATATGCACAAATAAAAATTGACTTTTTATAATTTCAAATGATGCCTCTCTTATCTGTACGATCAATAGATTAATTAGAAAAAACTCTTGCAAATTATGGAGAAACTTTGTTAATTACCAAATTCGCAAACTGAATTATCCAGAAACCACAGAACAACACTACCTAGTGCCTAAACATATTAATAATAAATTAAAAATCACACAAAATATGGTTATATGTCTTCTTACCATAATGTGTTTTTTTCAGATTACAGACTGAAGTCTTGTAACAGGGTTTCTTCAGATATCATGATGTCAAATTTAAGACTTTTTAAGACCTCTTTAAGACCATAAACTATTCAATTTAATACCTATATCATAATATCAAAAGCACGCAATAGAAAATGCAAAAACACAAAATTTTTGGTGAAATAAAATTACTGAAGACAGGTTAGATGCACCATTGAAGTACAGGAACAAAAAAACAAAGAAACAAACATTTTGAGGCTGATTTATACTTTCGCCTGGCTCTAGTGCACGCACCTTACGAAATGGACAAGGCTTTAATACTTGACGCATTCATCATTGTGATCATTTTTTAAAACATCAGGGGCCAATCAAAAGAAACCCACCGTAAAGTCAGACGGATGAACAGAGAAGAAGAAAGTTTCCAGAACTACGTCATATCATTAATATTGTTCAAGATTTTTTAAAGATTTTTTTATTATTTTTATAATTTATTATGATTACAAAGTTGGGTGACGGGGTGGTGCCGTGGTTAGCGCTCTCGACTCAAAACAAAAAGGTCACTGGTTCGAGCCTCGGCTGGGTCAGTTGGCATTTCTGTGTTGAGTTTGCATGTTCTCCCTGCGTTTGCGTGGGTTCAAGATGCTCTGGTTTTACCCACTGTCCAAACACATGCATTTTAGGCGAATAAGGTAAGCTAAATTATTTGTTGTTGTAAATGAGAATGGGTTGCAGCTGGAAGGGCATCCGCTGTTTAAATCATATGCTGGATAAATTGACGGTTCATTCTGCTGTGGCCACCCCAGATTAATAAAGGAACTAAGCCTAAACGAAAATTAATAAATGATTATAAAGTTTTTTAACTATTCAAGATTTTTTAAATCAAACTTTGATGCATCACTCACTTTTGTTTATATCTCGGATAGTTCTACCTATTACAGTTAAATATCAATGACAACAGAACATGGGTTACTCTACAATTATATTTTTTATTCTTTCAAGAATAATAGCAAAAAATACTTTAAATTATTTTGCCCACTCAACAATTGACACATTACTGTCTAGCTAGTTTCTGTCCTCTACTTATGAGCTGAAAAGGCATTAATGGTCCAACAATCCTGTCCATTATCACCAATAAAGCCTAGAAATTGGGCATCAGTATACTGTAAGCCGATAGGTTCATATATTCTTTTCCAGTTATCAAAGACATAATTTGTTTCTTAATTTTTGTTACATTGTTTTAACTTCAAAAATATACATCAGTGTAAAACCTATACATGTTGGAAAAACATATTCTGTAATATTAAAACCACCTGGGTCTCCACTTTTGCCATGGCTTCTTTTTTTCTTGTAACAAACTTATCCCTCAGGTTTTCCCAAACTTTTTAACAAAACAATTCCTTTCCCTGGCTGTTGCAAGAATTATTGGTCATCTGGTTATCTGGTTAATATATTCACGCAGCTGCTCCTACCGATGCAAATTCTGTTTTTACTTTTGATTTGTCGCCAGTTTATCAGAAGGGGGCGATTTTGTTCTCTTTGACTTGTTGGACGGAAACGCTGCTTTATTTGCATAGTCTTTTATGCATATTCCAGTTTTGGGCATTTTAGCATTTTTAGATGATAACATAGCTATTCACACTGCATCAGCACAGCTGTCCCCTTTTTTCCCTATGTACCTGTAGGTGAACAGCTCCTCCAGGTGTGGCCATGGGCATTCATCCTCTGCTATTTCTTCCTCATTTCTTCTGTCTTAAATCTCTATATGTCAATTGATAACTTTGTGACTGTATGATGATGACGGTCAGCTCACATAAATCTGCAGCAGCCTGAACTTGTTTTTTGGTTCAAATAATGTACCAGGCTTTTCATTGGTCCGTTAAGATTAGCTTTTTTTATTGGCTACCGAAATGCTGGTCTGTACGTGGTTGACATATTCATTTATTTACAGTACTCTATAACGAATTGTGATTTTAAAAGTAACAAACTAGATTACTCAGCTTAATTTGTACTCAAGTACAAGTAAAATTAAAGGGTAAAAATTCTACTCATGATAGTACAATTACCTTAAAAATGTACTTAATTACAGTAATGTGAGTAGTTGTAATTCGTTACTTCCACCACTGCATACCACCAAGAAGGACGAACCACATCAAACAGGAATAACTGTGGACGCAAGAGAAAGATGTCTGAAAGGGATGTCTGGGTGGTGACTCAGATTGTATCTGAAAAGCATAAAACCAAAGTTTCCCAACTCACTGCAGAATTGTATGTGCACCTCAACTCTCACGTTTTCACCAAAACTGTTTGTCATGTGCCCCGCAGGGTTAATATGCATGGCTAGAGCTAAATCTTTTGTCACTCATGCCAATGCCTAACATCGGTTTCAATGCTGTTAGCAGCAAAAACTTTGCGCTGTGGACAATGTGAAATGTATTATTCTCAGATGGGCCCACGTTAAGGTGTTTCCCACAGCTGTTTTTTCTTTGGCTTCCTCCGCCAGGGGCACCTGCCAGTAACCTTTTGTACCTGGCCCCACCCAGCCAGTCCAGGAGCTCATTCACTCTGGGCATGAGAAGTTATTGTAAAAGTGAACAGTGCCATCCTGCTTCGGTACCATCACCATTGGGCTGGACCAAGGACTTCAAGATGGCTCGATAATTCCTAGCTTTTTCATTCAGGAGATCTTCTCCTTTAATAGCCTGTCGGCGGTCCTCTGGTACACAGTAGGGTCGCTGCTGGACAATTTGTCCAGGGGTGTCCGGATGTTGTGCAAGTAAGTAAAGTTTATTTACAAAGCACATTTAACTTCAGTTTGGCACTGACCAAAATGCTGAACAAAACCATGGCACACATTCTAAAACAGTAAAATAACAATAAAAGTAATAATAAGTAATAATTTTTGGTGCCAGTTTAAAGTCTAGTTGCCGCATTTTAAACCAACTGCAACCGTGCCAATGAGGATTAAAGGAGACCAACATTTGTCTAGGCAGGATGTGATAAAAGCATGTATGACTTTTTTCAGAAAGTGTCCACCCGAGACAATCATTGAACACATCCTGCAATTGACTGACCAGGGTCTCCAGCTCTGTCTTCTTACCCACTGACTGCTGTTCTCCCATCATCATTTTTGGCAGGAAGCTTTAAGTTAAGACTGCTAGATCTTTTTAGGGTGCTACCCATTTTTTAAGAGATGAATGTGGTACACCTTTTCTTTCCATCGTCATCCTGGCTGCCGAACCCTGTAGTTGATCGTCCCAAATTATTTCACAATAGGGCCTGGCCACGGCCAAGAACCTTGCTATGATGATGGAGACTTGAATATGAACTTTATCCCCAGCTTGGGGTTGCGTGGCCAGTCATAAAGCCTTTGCTGGGTGCGCTGGGATGCCACTAGATGTTCCCGGACCAGATGCATTACACAGCCTATGTGCTTACGCATGTTTCATACGAGCTCTATTACGCTGCAATGGGGGGTCGGTTCCTGCTCCCATGTCTAGCCATCTCTAGCCACATTGAGCAGTCTTTGGGGCTGGCGCCCAAACAGCAATTCAAAAGGGGTAAACCCGGTGTATGCTTAGGGTACCTTTCTGATTCCAAAGAGCACATATGGAAGCATGTGGTCCAAGTCGCACAGATCCTCTGCAACTACTCGACCCAACATCTGTTTAAAAATCTGGTTGAAACATTCCACCAAGCCGTCTGTCTGGGAATGATACACACAGATGTGTTGAGTTGTTTTACCTGGAGTAGCCAGCAGAGGTCAGCTATCAGCCAGGGAAATGGATGGGGTGCCTTGGTCAGTAAATATCTCTGAGGTAATTTCCACTCTGCTGATGAACTGGAATAGCTCTTTCACAATGGATTTGGCGTTAGCTAGCCGGAGGGGAATCGTCTTGGGGCACCTGGTGGCATAGTCTACGATAACCAGGATGTGTTGACGACCTCATGCAGATTTCGGCAGTGGGCTCACCAGGTCCATACCAATGCACTTGAAGGGCACCTCAATGATGGGGAGAGGTACGAGCGGGCTGCAGGGAGGTTTGCATGGTGATGTCAGCTGGCAGATGGAGTAATCCTTTCCAGTCTGGCAGCGATCTTCTCCACGAGCTGCTGCGGCAGGGGCATTACTTCTGTCAGTTGTTGCACTTTTTTATAAACCATTTATAAAAGGCAGGATGGATCCATGCTTTTAGTTTTTGACACCAAATTCTGACCCTACCATTCAAGTTTGAGTTCTCAGTGAGAAGTACACTACTCAGTAACCTGACTCCACTTCAGAGCACAGGTGAGCTCCTTGAAGGGGCTCTAACCTAAATGATAGACACTTAAGTCTTTTGCATCCTGTCTTGGAGCCAAATGGTATCATAGATCTGGACACATATATGTAAGTCGTGCCTGTGTCTGAGAAGTCTTTTCTCAGGGGAACTCACTTGGGACAGTTATTATAAAGAGTTTTAAATCTGAAAATCAGCCCAGGTGGTTCAGTGTGGTACAAGCAGCAAGGGCTGTTTCTCGTCTTCCCTGACCCTATACAGTGTCTGTGCAAGAAGTCTCAAAGAGGTAAATGCATATTTGTGTAGACCTCAGGATAAACTGTGAGCCAATGCATCCATGTCAGGATCATATTTGGTCAGGTTGGACCTTTGACAAGGTTTCCTCTAACAAGACAGAATGGTAGCCACTGAGCCCTGAACTTGGGAGAGGGACCAAGTGGCAAACTGCAATGCATACCTAAGTGATGGACTGGGCAGTACAAAACAAGCCAACAAAGCCCATGTATGCCAGTACATTCTAGAGGAAAGGTGTCAAAGTCAATTCCTGAAGGGCCCCAGATCTGTACAGTTTTGCTCCAACCCTAATCAAACAGCTAATCCAAATAATCAAGGTCATCGAAAGAATCTTGAACACCTTGATTAGTTGCATCAACTGTGCAGAACTGCGGCCCTCCAGGAATTGACTTTGACCCCAATGTTCTAGAGCAGCGGTGCTCAACCATATTCCTAGAGATCTACATACCTACAGAGTTTAGCTCCAACAATAAACAACACCCATAAACTAAATAATTAGGACCTGAACAGCACTTGATAATTACAGGTAGGTGTGTTTGATATGGGTTGCTACTAAAGTCTGCAGGAAGACAGATCTCCAGGAACAGTGTTGAGCTTCTCTTTTCTAGAGAATCAGGGTGCTGGAGGTGAGTTTTGTGGTATAGTTTATATACAAATATTGCAACCTTCACAGAAGTTTGTCATCTGCTCCCACTTACCCTGTCAGTGGTTATGAGTGGGTAGGACCTTTTTGTCTTGGTATAAGGTATCATTTACCTCATCTCTCCTAATTGCCAAACAGTAAAACAAACTATAAACTAAGGAAACAGCCTGAGTTTTGGCTGCTGAATTTCTGATTACTTGAATGCATGGTTCAGGTCCGGCTGATGTAAAATGTGACATAAATGTTAAGGGCATCCTAATTAATAATCCAATGTGAAACAATTGTCTGTAGTTTGTTTTAATAGGCCCGTTTTTCATATATAAGATCAAAGTAAAAATGCTGTTTAAGGCTCACGGATTATATCTTATGGCACCTTTAATTATAAGTTGAAAATAAAACAAACTAAAACTACCCCAAGGAAGAAAACTTAGTAATATCTGGGCTTGGCTTGCAAAACTAGACTTGAAAGTATACAGCCAGTAAGATGCATGAGCCACAACCTGCATAGCAAGACATGAAAACATGCTGCAACAGATAAACAGAATGCTAACACATAATAATAACATATGACTGAGGTGCTGGGAATCAAACACAACAGTGCGTACAAACACTGTGTGCATGGCTTGAGCTTGCCTGAAACCATATGCCCTAAACACAGAGAGAAAAACAGGAGTGGAAACAGTCTAAGCCAACCCAAAACCACACAACCTAACAAAGACCATGTTGAGAAATCCATAAATAAACTACTAAAAAGTGACAGAACCCTGACAAGCAACCTGAAACGTATTTAATAATTCAACCTAGATTGATTTTGAATGGAATCAGCCTATAGCATACCTCCAAACACCATTTTTCCTGGGAGTTTCTCTTATTTCAAACTCATTTCTCACCACCTAACCATTTTGCGTTTTCTTTATTCTGGAAAACTCCTGTATTGCACCCACTATCCACCCCTGGTCATTTTTTTCCTACAGTCTCCAACACCCCCACCCCCCAGTTGCCAATTTTGGTATAGTATCCGATCACCAATACTGTCCAAGACCTGGTTCATGGTAACTGCTCAACTTTGTTACACAGACACTACACCCCCCCAACACCCCCACCCCCCAAATGATGGCAGATATAGCCTATAGAAACATCTTTACTTTCCCTGATGACATTTGAGCGTCTGTGAAAACAATAAAGTCCAGCCCATCTAAATCTCTATAAAAACAGCACAAAGAGTGAAGTGTTCGGAGGTTTCCTGCACATCCCAGCATCCACCTTCAGATTCCTGAGGCAAGCTTATTTTTGCTGTCATTATGAACTCCACATCGAACAGCAGTCTGAGCAACACTTTTATTATGAAATCACTAAAAGAGAAGGCTTTGCTGGTGCAGGTGCTGGTTGGGATTCTTCTGTATGTTAATGGACTGATGATTTTCACCTTTCTGAAAAAGGAGACCTTCAGGGACACACGCTACATTCTGTTTGCTCAGACTCTTTTTGTTGATTCTTCTTTTATGATATTTGCTGATTTAACCCTTCTATGCTCTGCTTACCAACTGATCATTCACAACATTTCTTGCTATGTGTTCTGTACAGTCATGTCTGTGCTCAGTATTTGTTCTCCGGTGACTCTTGTAGCCATGTGTTTGGAGCGCTATGTGGCCATATGTTTGCCTTTAAGACATGCCAGCATCTCCAGCCCCAAAAACATCATCAATGGGCTTCTCATCGTATGGGGTGTCAGTAGTGTCATCCCACTGTTTGTTTTCATTGGCTCTTTTGCTTATACTCCTCCTAATGCCATGAACTCATATGTTGTGTGTAGTATTGAGGTCATGTTACAAGTGAAATGGCTGGCAGACACGAGAGCGACAAGTCAACAGCTCTTATTCGTCATAATGTTGTGTATTGTTGGCTCTACTTACATCAAGATTATGATCGCAGCCAGATCAGCCTCAGCCACGAACAAGAAGTCAACATATAAGGGTCTCAGAACTGTTATTCTCCATGGCATTCAGCTGATTCTGGGTATGATGCAGTTTATAACACCATACACTGAAATGTCTTTATGGAAAATAGATGTCATGCTGTTTTTAAATGTAAGATATTCAAATTTCATCTTGTTTTGGATTTTGCCTCGTAGCCTGAGTCCATTAGTATATGGACTACGAGACAAAAAGTTTTATTATGCTCTTAAATATTATGCCTTTTGTGGGGTTTTTGTGGTTAGTAAGCATAAAGTACGAGATATTAAAATCTCCCGAAGGAAAAGATGTTAAGCACATCACAAATTTAAGTACTGTAAAATAATCAGCAATAATGTCTGTCATTGAATTAAATAATACACAATGGAAATGTATATACAGGCCTATATAAGTATGGAAATAATAAGGCTGCTTAAAAATACAGGGAAAACATCACGGAATCCACTTGTCTGATTTACTTATATTTGAGTGAAATGTAATTTTAGTGTTATTCTCTACCCACTGATGACATTTGTTTCTAACTTAAAATACAAATGTCAGGTAGAGCAATTTTTTTGCTTAAAATAACATATATATGAACTGTGTAAAATCCTCTTGTACATCTTTACAACACAAAGCCAGTTTATCTTTAACTTAAACTGCAATATTAATTCAAATATAAGCTTTCCGGAAATATGAGTAATCTAGTTTACAAGTGTTCTACCATGGCTTTATAATGTGAACATATTAGACCTTAGGCTGTAAGAGGTGAATGTTGGTCAAGCTCCTGCACTTTTTACAAATAATCTGCAAGCAGACAAACAGTAAACAAATCTCAAATTGTGTCAACCCTGTCATGGACAAATTCAGTAGGATAAGTATATTTTCATTGCAGTGTGATTATAAAATGTACATTTTTAGAAAAATAGTGTGTTCCTTTACCAACACAACTTTATATATTATTGAAAAAGTCTCTTAGTAATAAAAAAATAATGGACAAAAAGGTTTCAAATACTCAACTTCTGTTTTCACCAACTACTGCAAAACCACTGAGCCACCATGCCATCTCTTCTGTTATCAATTAAGTTTTATCAATATGCAAATTAATGGGAAAATAAACAATTATTGTCTTTCAAATTAAACTAAATTCGCACATTAATGTAAATCTTTACATTGTGCATTGTATTGGAATTGTGAAGGGAATGTTGAAAACAACTCAAGTTAAACACCTTTTTCAGAATAAGGTAGATAATTAGATTATAGATGTTGACACAAATGTACAAATACTTAATGCTGTATTTGTATTTAACACATTTAATGAGCTCCATTATATGGACTTCAAAAGGATATCCTTCATATAGACTGAGCCAGATATTGCCAAAAGGTTTGCACTGTCCACTCATGTATCGGATCTACTGGTGTATGTGTGTATAAGCGTTGTAACATAAAATGATAAAAACAATACCTAATTAACAGTAAAATATTAAATAAATAAATAAATAAATAAATAAATAAATAAATAAATAAATAAAGAAAGTGTTAAAAACAATGCATATATCCACCCTGTCAAGGAAGGATTTGTGACAGGGTGGACAATGACAGGAAGGACATTTTTGGCTAAAGATAACATTTATTCAACACATGTTGTACCTGCAGCTGGCAAAGTGTTTCCCTATTTAAGCTCTTTGTGCACAGTTTAAAAGCTTTATTTTTGATTTCTGATTTTTTTTTATATTAAATATTATTTGACTATGACAGGGTGGGCGTTTTAAGCTTTATAACATTCAGTTTTCAAACACAATATGAGGAAAAATAGTAAACATAAGTGTAGATAGTTACTGTGTGCACAGCAGATGTTTTAACCTCCTCTGAAATAAGGCAAAATGGGCAAGGGGAAGCCAATGAGTACATCAGACAGTTTTTTTAAAGGGGCATTTACCATATCACGACAAGGTGGGCAGCAATTTCAAGGACACGTGCAAAATAATTAGTAACTATAAAAACAAAATAAAAGTGATCAAAATTACTTATTTTATCAAATAACTTTTTAAAGACAATACGAATATTTAAAAATCTAATTTACCTTCTTTTTAGACTCACTAAAGTTGGCTGAGCATGTGGGACATGGCAAAATCACATCCATTCAATGAAAGAATATGGCAAAAATTGACAAAAACATATTTTAAAACTTAAAATTCTACCTGCATGTGTGTAAAGGTTTACCCTATTATTTCGCATTATGTTTATATAGGACTGATTCAATCTTGTGGGAAATCAAAGGCACTGTATAGTGATAATGACCCATTAAGTGTTTGGTCTTAACTATAAATTGAAATTGGATAGGTGAAGCAATGAAAGCCTGACCATTGATAAAATTATATGGTAATAAAATACATAAAATGAAAAAATAATGAAAAAATAATGAAAAAAACTATGTTAGATAGGAAAACTAAGCAGTTAGGGTGGCACGGTGGATCAGGTTAGCTGCCACTTCAGTAAGAAGGTCGCTGGTTCGGGCCAGTTGGCATATCTGTGTGGAGTTTCCATGTTCTCTCCATGTACGCGTGGGTTTCCTCAGGTGCTCCACTTTTGCCCACAGACTCCAAATACTGTATAAATGAATTGGAGAAACGAATCTGACTACAATCTAAGAGTGTGTTTGCGAATGAAAGCATGTATAGGTGTTTCCCTATAATGGGTTTCGACAGAAGGCCATCCGCTGTGTAAAACATATGCCCGAAAAGTTGACGGTTCATTGCACTGTGGTGCCCCTTGATAAATAAGAGACTAAGCCGAAGCTTAATGAATGAATGAGCTGACCAGTTAATATCTTAGAGAGATTGCTCACCAGCATCCTCAGTAGGTTAGTATTAAATCTTTTACTGCAGTTTATTTTACACACCACAAGAGGTCCCTGTCTACCGTCTGTTCTAAATTTTCTTATGTCTTTAATATTAGATGATACTGCTCAACCTCCGGTGCTCAATCTGTCATCTAATATCTTTGGTTATATTCAGATACACAAAAACATACAGTTCATTGTTTCCACATTTTGTTATGTGCAGCCTTATTCAAAAAAAAAAAAAAAAAAAAAAAAAAAAAAAACGGATGGGTTAAATTTTACAAACAATGCCCTATAATGACATGAAAGAAGTTTGTTTGAAAATTTGCAAAACTTGTTTCTTTGTAAATTAAAAGAAAGAGAGAGAAAGAAAGAAAAGAGAGAGAGAGGTATTATGTATTAAAGTGTTCACAGTCTTTGCTCAGTTCTTTGTTGAAGCACCTTTGTCCTCAAATTATTTTTGATTATGATGTTACAAGCTTATCTCAGCTATTTCAGGCAGTTAAATTTTTTTTTTTTTATTTTATTTTATAGTAGTAGTACATATCAAGCTCCATGGGTAAGCATTATTGCTCATTAGTGCTCAGTTCTTTTCTGAGATTTTCAGTTGGCTTCACATCTGGCCGAATTCAACTCTGGCTGGTTTACAGAAAACCTTGAACTGTGCTTAGGGTCAGGCAGAAGTTCAAAGAGCTCTGTAGCATTTTTTCATCACCAGTCTCTGTACATTGCTGCACTGATCTTTAAACTCGATGGCCCCTTTTCACATTTCTGGGTTTTTCAGGAGCTGAAATGAAGTGTGATGCTGAAATGAATGCAGTGAATAGGAGAGTACAATATATATATATATATATATATATATATATATATATATATATATATATATATATATATATATATATATATATATATATATATATATATATATATATATATATAATGGCATAATTAAAGAAAAATTACACAATGGTGTTATCAAGACTTGTCAGAAAAAGGACAAAATTGAGTGCGACTAATAACGACAGCCAGAAGAGGAAAAAAACAAAACTCAAATTTACTGTCCTGTCTGTAGATGCTGGCATGCTGCATTAGAAATGTTTTGCATAATACACGTGCAACATCAAACTGTTTGTGAAAAATTATGCAAGGTCATTTCTGACTGAACATTTGCATTATAATCTGAAAAATTCAACAAAGAGTTTGATTTCAAAATGATGTGGGGAGATGGGAGGAGCTGTGACCACAGGTGACAGCTTTCAGAGGACAGAAAACTAAACTGAACAGTTTAGTCAAAAATTAAACCATTTCTCATTGAACAACTGAACATTTTTTTTCAGGTTATCCAAGACTTTTACATGCACAGGTGAAAATTCATGTGCAGGTAAGAGATTATATTTTCCCAAAGAGTTGTGTCTCTGTATATTTGCCTCTGTATATTTAATATTTAATATTATAATATTACATTTGTGCCTCTGTATATTTAAACTGAAGTAAGCAAAATAGACTTAAGGGTCAAATGCCCAGTATTTTTGCTTTAATGGAATGAAAATTGCGATAAGTAAAAGTCATTTTATATGATATGTTTTATATACTATATTTTTATTTACCGAATCAAAGTTTTAGGGGTGTTTAATTCTTCTCAAATGTCAGAAACAGGAAGTAAAGGACTTCAAACAAACTGAAAGCTTCAGTTAGAATTAACTGACTTTATATCTTATATAGCTGTGCTTTTTTTCCTATATATTTGCTTTGTGTGCAAACATGAAAATTTGTATGAATGTGTTTTCTTTTCCCTGTTTGTTCGCAAACCTTAAAGTAGATTAGTATTTTATGTAACAATACATAAATATAATTATGCACTGTGAACTTTGTACCTGTTCGTACTTTGTACTCAGACAGCATGTTTTATTGCAAACGGATGAATGAAATGATTGTTCATATTTCATCATATTTTGTGTTTGCTTTGAATACTGTTAAAAAGGGAAATTTTAAACAATGGCAGAATCGACATCAGGATCACCAAAACACAACCCGGCCAGGAGAAGTAGTCTGGATGCACCTCCATTATGTCAGTAAACTAACAGATGTATGAATGAAAGACAATATGTTATGTTATAAAAGTAAACCAAATAACTATGATATAGGTTTAATTTCCTTGCATCACATTAAATTAATTTATTATTGAGGAGTTTTAATTTTAGATTTCACCTGTTGTTTTATTTATTATAAAAATACTGTAAAATATGTCTTTGTGCTTTTCCAGCTCTGTCAGCTTTGTCAAAGGAGCTCCAGTGCTCAATCTGTCTGGATGCGTTCACTGATCCACTCAGCACTCCATGTGGACACAACTTCTGTAAGAGCTGCCTGAACCAGTGCTGGAACAACAGCCAAACCTACAACTGTCCATTCTGTAAAGACACATTCAGTTACAGACCAGAGCTCAAGATCAACACAGCACTCAGACAGCTTGTGCAGGTGTTTAGGCAGAATGTTCCTGAGAAAAAATCTGAAGTTCTCTGTGATATTTGTGATGGTATGAAGATGAAAGCCTTTAAGATTTGTCTGACGTGTCAGAGCTCATACTGTGAAACTCACCTGGAGCCTCATCAGAGAGTCCCAAATTTGAAGAAACACACATTGATTGATCCTGAGGGGAATGTTGAGAATTATATATGCAAGAAACATGAGAAACCTCTGGAGTTGTTCTGTAGAGATGATCAGACAAGTGTGTGCTCTCTATGTGCTGTGACAGACCACAGGAATCACAACACTGTTGTTGTGGAAGTGGAGAGCAAAGAGAAGAAGGTAATAACAATGTGATAAAAGCAGAGGGTAGATTTAAAAAAAAAATTAATAGTAGCTGCATCTTTTAGGGATTGCAGCTGTTTTGCTGATAAATGTATACTGGATGGTGCTAAAAGCTAAATTCAGATTAATGTGAGTAGCTTTTGTAATGAAACCAAAACACTATGGGGTTTTGCCAATGATTTTTTTTCAATGAGTGCCCTACAGAGAAACAGATACCCTATCCAACTCATGTGACGGAGCAGTGGTTCAATTCTAATGCTGTGTTCACACCCAACGTGGAACGCGTGAATAAATCACGCTATTCGCACGTAAACATTTTGAGTTTACTTACTTTATTTGCATGTCATATCCCTTTCATTTGCATGTCAAATTCACTTCACACGGATTCGCGTCATGGGCAGTGCTTCTGTCTGCCCGGTGACTCTTACCTTTTTACTAAATGGCTACCATGGATTTTTTAGAGTAAATAGGTTTATGTGCTTTAGTGAAGGTTGAGAAATAGCGTCGATTCGTTTGGAGTCCACTAGATCCATTCAGAGGTGCACTCAGCTCTGTGAATTCCTCAACTCCTCCTGAAACTGTACCTGGATGATAGATGATAGAAGCTTTGGACTGAACTGAGCCCAGTTTCATGAAGTATTGTCGGTGTCGGCAGGAGGATTACCCCCCGGGACACCAACAACAGGCACTACGTCATAATCACTTCCCTACAAGTGCAAGCTCCTAATTGGTTAAAGCAGCGCAAATATCTGCTGAAGTTCCGATTTTCCAACTTGAGCGATTCGCACGAAACATGCGTTAAGCGCACCAATCTTGCAAAACGCTCAAATTGTCCTGCATCATTTACACGAATCGCGTCATTTGTGGGTATCGCATCACAGGATGTCTATTCGCGTCTTTGCGTTGACTTAACATGTAAAACATTCAAGCTTAACACTTCTCCGCGTCTGCTGTGAACACAGCATCAGCTCCTCTTGTGGGACAGAGCTCTGCAATCTATTCATGCCACCCAGGGAAGGAAGGTCATTCCGTCCGCTTGTATCCAAGATCTTTTACTTTCAATTATGATCATAGGTGAGAGCAGCAATATAGATTATTGTTTAATCTGTCAATCTCACTTTACATTATTACCTCACACTTGAACAAATTCGGAAGATGAAATTCTATTTTTTTCCTTAAACCAGACACCCTCTGGCTCCAGTATATACTTAGAACCTTGACAGAGCACCTTGGACCTTCTCTCATAGCACCCACAGAATGCCATGAGGAACATGGTTGAATGCTTTCTTCAAATCCAGAAGCACATGTGAACTAGCTGAGCGAACTCCCACAAACCCTCAATAACCTTAGTGAGAGTATAGAGCTGGTCCAATGATTTCTTAATAACAGGAACCACCACCCTAGTCATCAAATCTAAAGTTACTATCACTGAACTCCATGCAATGTCATAGAGGCTTGTAAGCCAAAAGAGCCCCACCACATCCAGAGACTTGATGTACTCACAGCTGATCTCATCCACCCCTGCTGCCTTGTCAATGTAGAACTTGCAGTCTACCTTGTTTACTTCAGCTATTGTGTTGGGCGAGTCAAACCTTGTAATCAAGGTCTCTGCTTTCTCAATGAAAGGCATGTCAGTTGGATAGAGGAGATTCTCAAAGCACTAATCTACCATGCAACAAACTCCCCAGTTGAGGTCAACAGTTCACCACTTCAACTATCAACATTGTTGGTGAAGCACTGCTTCCCCTTCCTGAAGCACCGGACAGTAAGAATTTCTTTAAGAATGAATGATAGTCCTCTTCTATGATCTCCCCGAACTTTTCTGAGGCCTAAGTTTTTGCTTCAGCGAATGCCTGGGTGTACTTTTTTCCTGTCAGTACACATCAGCGGCCTAATGAGTACCACAATACAAAGAGGACTGCTAGGACTGAGTTTGTGGGTTGTCTTTATTGTTGCATCAACAAACAGAACAAGAACCACTTGGTCTCAGTGTCCCCATCCTCCCTGGGAATCTGGTCAGAGCTCTTCCGGAAGTGAGAGTTCAACATTTTTTTAGACATGCGGTTTATCCAGGCATTCTCAGCAGACTCTCAAAATATGGGTGGGCCCGCTACATCTGTCCGGCCAGCTCATTTGCCAGCAGATCCAACTTACCACCAGGTAGTGATCAGTTGACAGCTCTATCGATCTCTTTACCTGAATTTGCATGACACATGGTCAGAGAGCATATGAAATGACCACAAAGTCAATTATCAACCTTCTGCCTGGGATGTTCTGGTGCAATGTGTACTGATGGACACCCTTATGCTCAAGCATTGAGTTAGTTATGGACAATCTCTGGCTACCACAGAAGTTGAACAACAGAAAACCCCTTGGATTCAGATTGGGGAGGCAGTTCCTTACAATAGTCTTTCCAGGCTGTTGTTGTTCGTATGAGCATTGAAGTCCTCCAGTAGAATTACCACTTCTTCAGTACCAGTTCTCCTCCTGAGCACTGTAATGGCCAATGTAATGGCCAAATGCACAAACTACAGTGAGAGATCTATCCCACACGCGAAGCTGCAAGGAGGTGACCCCCTCACTTAGCAGGGGAAAACTTCAACATATGGTGGCAAATCTGGGACAATATAAGCAAGCCCACACCAGCCCACTGCCGCTATCTGTGCTCAACTCCAGAGTAGAAGAGAGTACAACATTTCTCGAGAAGGTTCCAGAGCCCAGACTGTGCGTGAGGGTGAACCTGACTCTCTAGTCAGTGCCTTTTAACCTCCTGCACAAGTTCAAGTTCTATTATACCAGCAAGGTGGAATTGCATGTTCCGAGATCTGTGTTCAAATATTGGGTTGACCTGACCATTGACCTGACTTTTGACCACTGCTCAATCCACAATTATGGCTCCTTTATGCCTCCTCTTGTAAGTGGTGCGTCCACATGAGGATGGTCCTACATTGGTCTACTGGCCTGTGCCCAGACAGGATCTGTGGGGAAAGATTTGGCTACCAGATACACCCATGCAAGCCCAACCCAGATCTAACTCCAGGGTGGAGCTCTGGTTGATCATGGTCCTTGATATTCTTTCTCTCTTGAGAAGTATTTTGAATTGCACTTAGTCTGGCCTGTCAACCTTTTACCTTTTTGCCTTGGGAGACTCTACTAGGAGCATTTAGCCCCTGATACCATAGGTTCTAGGATCATGTAGGCACTCAAATCCCTCTACTGCGATAAGGTGACTCTTCACAGAAACGTGAAAAAAAAACTGGCTTTGGCGTTCATTTTAGCTGAAAACTCTGGGGAATTGAATGTATGCTTTTGGATTCTTAAATTTATTCATTTTTTTTCACAGTAGAGAGACTAAATGCATTGCAGCTATATATACAGTAGCCTTTTACATTTGTGCTAGATGGTGTTGAATCTGTTCACTGTCTCTGTGTTCTATTTTGTCTGTAGCCTCAGCTGATAAAGATACAAACAGATGTGCAGCAGATGATCCAGGACAAATTGAAAAAAATTCAAGAGATCAGACACCTAGAAGAACTCAGAATGGTGAGTGTGGATAATGCGATTAACATTTTTTTTGACAGTTTGTTTGTTTGTATACAAATAACAAAATTGATTTTAAATAAGACTTTTGGTGCATGAATAATAAAATTTCCATAAAAATAATTTACATCAGTTTTGAGGTATTTTAAAATAATGCGTCTGATTTTATAAATATGGGATATTTTCATTGACTGATATTAGTAATATTATAATATTATATAATATTAGTTTTCCACATACAAAAGTATTGTATGCCCTAGAGGCTTTCAATAATGACACTCTGGTCATCTGACTAATTGACTTTGTTGTGTTTGTCTAAGTTATGTTTATTATAACAATACGAGAATTGACTGATTTTTCAGATAACATCAGAGAAAGAGAAGGCTGAGAGCACTGAGCTCTTTGCTGATCTGATACGCTGCATTAAAATATGTCAATCTGAGCTGTTGGAGATGAAGGAACAAAAGCAGAAAGCTGCAGAGAAGCAGGCCCAAGAGCTGATTAAAGATCTGGAGCAGGAGATCACTGAGCTGAAGAGGAGAGATGCTGAGCTGGAGCAGATCTTACACACTGAGGATCACCTGCACCTCCTGCAGGTCAGTGTCCTTCTGTCTGCTCACATCTCAGCACAACACTTCCCATGCTGAAGGATTTCTGCTCTCTCCTGCTGTAGATTTACCCAGAGCTGAGCAAACCTCCACACACCAGCAGCTGGACTCACGTCAGTATCAGTGACACTCAGCTGAGTGTGGAGACTCTGAGGAAAACTCTTACACAGCTGCAAGACACTCTCAATGACAAACTCAGCACAAGTGGTGAGAGGATCTCAGGCTTCATTCTAAGCACGTTCTGTTGCACACTTATTTAATTAATTTATTTATTGCTTTACATTTGTGGGAAAACAGAAACCAATCTCACACTGTTTCTTTGTAATGTTATAATAATATTGTGTCATATCACGTATTGTCATTTGTCTCCACAGTGCTGAAGACGATGCAGCAACATGCAGGTAAAATCTGTGGTGTCAATTTTCAGCTTGTCATTGTTAGTTCAAATGGTCATAGTTAAATGACACGAAAGTCTGCACATTATTTTAAGATGTTAAAGATGTGGTTATCTGCTCTCACTTTCTTTCAGTGGATGTGACTCTGGATCCTAACACAGCTCATCCAAAACTCATCCTGTCTGATGATGGAAAACAAGTGACCTTTGGAGACAAAGAACTTAAACTCTTAAACAACCCAGAGAGGTTTGATTGTTGTCCATGTGTCCTGGCAAAAGAGAGATTCAGCTCAGGGAGATTTTATTTTGAGGTGCAGGTAAAAGAAAAGACTGATTGGGATTTAGGAGTGGTCAGAGAATCCATTAACCGGAAGGGAGATATCACAGCTGCACCTGAGGCTGGATACTGGATTATAATGCTGAGGAATGAGAATCAGTATCTTGCAATTGATTCTTCTTCTGTCTCTCTGTCTCTGAGAGTGAAGCCTCAGGTTGTGGGTGTGTTTGTGGATTATGAGGAGGGTTTGGTCACTTTTTATGATGTGGAGTCCGGGTCTTTTATTTATTCTTTCACTGGTCAAACTTTCTCTGAGAAACTCTCTCCATATTTTAGCCCTTATCAAAATAATGGAGGTAGAAACACAGCTCCACTGATCATCTCACATGTCAGAAAGAATGAATGATTTTATAACCAAAATACAGATGTGAGGTTACTGCTTTCAAATGAAAGAACATGTCTTTTTCTATTTTGTGAATTTGTGAAAGTTAGGTTTATGGTGTATCTGATGTATCTTTATATTGATTTCTTTAAACATGTACATGTTCATAAATCAATGTAATTGGAATAAAAATGTTATTAATA